ACAAAAAAATTATCTTCTCCTGGTAGAACACACCTGTAATCCCAGCTACTCAGGAGGCTGAGGTACGAGAATCACTTGAACGCGGGAGAGCTATGATGACACCACTGCACTCCAGCCTGGGTGACATACTGAAACTCCGTCTCATAAATACATACATACGTACAAGTATGTCACCAGCCAGGCAAGGTGGCTCATGCCTGCAGTTCCAGCACTTTGGGAGGCTAGGGTAGGAGGATCTCTTGAGCCCAGAAGTTCAAGGCTACAGTGAGCTATGGTGCCTCTGCACTCCAGCCTGGGCAGCAGAGCAAGATCTTGTCTTAAAAAAAAAAAAAAAAAAAAGTTTCTATTCATGCCTCAGTTCAGAAGCAAGACTCTGCTTCAGGGGTACTTTTCCCACCACTATTTTAAAACCCTTACTCCATATCCAGGCACTTGGCAATGGGAAAACTTCCACCGCATCCGTGTTAAATGTTGATTATGTGTAGGGCATGGTGTAGGTCCCATATGGTATAAAAAAGTCCAGTTTTTGCCCTCTAAGAAGGCCCTGCCCAGATGAGCAGAGAACGTGAATGGGTGTGTGCAGCCAGCAGGAGTCACGCGTGGGTCTTCAGACAAATGGCACAGAGACATCGGAGAGCGTAGCAATTGCGGAAATTCTCTAGGTGGTGCTGGCTGCCACGCAGGTCCCACAGGGTTCTCTAGTACTGAGTGTGACCTGAATGTCCCTGTGGGAGTGCCTGGTCCATACCTCCTCCCTCTGCTGCAGATGAAGATGCCTTCTAAGAAGTTTGCACACATCCCTGTCTACACACTGGGCTTTGAGAGTCCTCAGAGGGTGTCGGCTGCCAAAACCACGCCAGTCCAGAGAAGAGACGTCTTCCAGTGCGTTCTTTGCCTTGCTGCTGATGTCACCGTGGTGGTCGGGCATGAACAGTAACCTGGGAGCTGGGGTGGAGGGGGCTGGCTTTGTCGCTATTTGCTAGGACACCCCAAGGAATAGAACTCCAAGGCAGAGATACATTATTTTGGAGGTCTCTGGGAGGCTGAGTAGTAGGTGGTCAGGGAGCAGTGCTGAGAGGAACACTGCTGGCTGTGTCAGTTACATACAACCCCATGGGTGCCTGAGGGCCAAGGGGAGGCCTAGGGTGAAAGGCAGCCAGGAGGAGCCCTGGGATGCAGTCGGGGATGGGGTGGGGTCTTGCACCCTGGCTGGCTGCTTTCCCTGACTGCCCTCTCCTGCTCCCTAGATCTCTGCAAGGACCACAGTGGCAGAGTGTGGAGGAGGCGTTCCCCCACATCTACTCCCACGGCTGTGTCCTCAAGGACGTCTGCAGTGAGTGCAGTGGCTTTGTGGCCGACGTGGTGCGCTCCAGCCGTAAGAGCGTGGACGTCCTCAACACCACGCCACGACGCAGCCGCCAGACCCAGTCCCTCTACATCCCTAACACCAGGACTCTTGACTTCAAGTGACGGCACCAGCAGGCCAGGCCTCCAGGAGGCACCAGGCAGGCCCTGTTCCAGGCTAGGACGCGCTGAGCTGTGCATGTACATATATACATATATAGATAGATTTATAATATATACACCTGGCCTATATATTTATAGACATCGTTTCCTGGCCCTAGAGCTCATTTGGGTTCAGGCACACTTCAGAACCCTCCCTCCGGGAGGCTGTTTCTTCTCAGGATTCCTTGCCGGGGAGGAAGTGGGGAACAGGGAGTGGGTTTTCTCATTGAGGAGAGAGAGCAGAGGGTTCTAGATCCTGGCAGACTGCATCCCATGTTCCCATTCTCTTCTCTGTCCCCAGTAATGAGGACAGCAGCTTCCCCTCCCCCGTGGATGTCTAGGTGGGGGTTGGGTATCTCGGCTCCCAGCTGGACCAGAGTGCCCTGCTCGCCTCTGCTCTCCCTTTGTGGAGACTTGGGCAGCACCTGGGAAGTGTCTGAGTGAGCGGGGTTCTCCTGGGAGGCACCCCCCGCCTCTGAAAGGTCTGGCCAGGCGTGGTGGCTCACACCTGTAATCCCAGCACTTTGGGAGGCCGTGGAGGGAAGAGCGCCTGAGGTCAGAAGTTCAAGAGCAGCCTGGCCAACATGATGAAACCTTGCCTCTGCTAAAAATACAAAAATTAGCTGGGCGTGGTGGTGCACGCCTATAGTCCTAGCTACCTGGGAAGCTGAGACAGAAGAATCACTTGAACTTCGAAGGCGGAGGTTGCAGTGAGCCAAGATCACACCACTACACTCCAGCCTGGGTGATAGAGTGAAACTCTGTCTCAAAAAAAAAAAAAAAAAAAAGTCCATGCCAAGCTTCTCCCTGCCCTTTGCCTGGGGTCCACACCCCAGCTGTCCCGCCCCTTTGCCCTACCACATTCTGGTGCTGTCGTCACTCGCCTCAGGCTCAGAGGCTACTGAAGATGCTGGAGGTCCCAGTCCAGGGAGGAGCAGCTCTGTCAATCTGTGCACATGGCCAGCCTTGGCCTAATAAAGGAAGTCTCACACCTTCTGTCTGGGATGTGCACTGAGGGTCTGCCCAGCATGGCAGTGGGCATATTCTCCCAAGGCTGAAGCTCGGCTTGAGGGGCCATCTGCCCTCCAGGACCAGGAAAGGCCTCCCTGGCTTAGCACAGTTGCATGCCCACCCGGCGAGGGTCCCAGGCCTGCTCTGTCCCTGCAGCGCTGGCTGGCTCTACCAGCTTCATGGTCCTGGCCACCTTGGTCAGGGGTGCAGGCAGACAGCACAGACCACATCCCATCAGCTCCCCTGGCCACACCTGCTTGGGGGACAGTTTAGTTTCACTTCCCAGATCCCTATTCTTATTCTCCAGAGAGAGGAATCACAGGGGCTGGAGGTGTGACTGAGGCTCTAGACAGGCCCTGTGCCCAGTGCTGTCTGCCCACCTGTGCCTGGCTCAGCCTGGTACAGCACCCTGCCCCGTTCCTCTGTGATGTTCTGCTCTCATTTCACCTTACACATGAGGAAACTGAGGCTCAATGAGGTGAAATAATTTGGCCAAAAATACATAGCTCACCCAGAAACTTTGACCCTAGGCTGTAATGCCAGCCATGGGGCCTGGAGGTTGGGAAGGGACCTGACTTGTAACAAATGGGCCTGTGGGAGAAACCTCCTATCAGCTGGGGCCCAGGAAATCCACACACATAGTTAGAGCCTCCAATAAAATCAGCCAGCTTTGGCTGTGCGTGTTTTTTTTTGAGACAGGATTCTTTTTGTGTGTGTGTGTGCATTTTTTTTTTTTTCAGACAGTTTTGGTCTTGTCGCCCAGGCTGGAATGCAATGGCGTGATCTCTGCTCACAGCAACCTCTGCCTCCTGCTGGCCCTGTATTTTTATTCCTGTTTAAGACTAAGAAAACCGCCATGCACGGTGGCTCACGCCTATAATCCTAGCACTTTGGGAGGCCGAGGCGGGCGGATCACGATGTCACGAGCTCGAGACCAGCCCGACCAACATGGTGAAACCCCGTCTCTACTAAAAATACAAAAATTAGCTAGGTGTGGTGGCACATGCCTGTAATCCCAGCTACTCAGGGGCTGAGGCAGGAGAATTGCTTGAACCCAGGAGGCGGAGGTTGCAGTGAGCCGAGATTGTGCCACTGCACTCCAGCTTGAGTGACAGAGTGAGACTCCGTCTCAAAAAAATAAAAAATAACAGGCACAAAGAGGGTCAGGAATTTCCCCTGGTCACATAGCCAGCAGTAAGAAAGCTAATGTGCAGCACTCAGTAAGGACAACTGTGGTTCTCCTGGTTCCACAGGAGCTTACACTCCCTATCGTAGGAAGACTGGATGGTAATCCATGCAGAAACACTTGGAAATGAAAGCCCCCGTTAAAACGCTAGCTCAGGGCAGCCACAGTGGCTCACGCCTGTAACCGCAGTACTTTTGGAGGCCAGGGCAGGTGGATCAGTTGAGGTCAGGAGTTGGAGGCCAGCCTGGCCAACATGGTGAAACCCCATCTGTACTAAAAGTACAAAAATTAGCCTGGCATGGCGGCAGGTGCCTGTAGTCCCGGCTACTTGGGACGCTGAGGCAGGAGAGCCGCTTGAGCCTGGGAGCCGGAGGCTGCCGCGAGCCGAGTGCGCCCGTGCGCTGCAGCCTGGGCGACAGAGCAAGCCTCGCCCGCGCCGGGAGGGGCGGGCCCAGGGGCCGCAGCGGGTGGGGCGGGCGGCGGCGGCACCTGCCTTCTCCGCGCCCGCCGGGCCCGGGGTCCCCAGCCCCACGCACAGGAAGCCGGGGTCCGCCCACGGAACCGAGCCCCGCCTCGGCCGCCCCCACTTCGTTTCCCGGTTTTCTGAGACGGTCTGGCCCCGTCCCCCAGGCTGGAGTGGAGCGGCGCGATCCCGGCTCGCGGCAGCCTCAGCCCCGGGACTTCGTCTCGGTAGAGACGGCCGCGCCGCGGCGCCCAGGCTGGTCTGGAAACGGACCTCGGGTGACCCGCCCGCTCCGCCTCCCGCGCGCTGGGACCCCACGCGCGAGCACCGCGTCCGAGAGCTGCTCGGAACCACCGTCCCTCACGGGGCCTCCGCCGGGCAGGACGGTCCGGCCGACCCGCCGCGCGAGCGGGCGGCGGCTCCAGGCCGGGCAGAGGCCGCCATCGACGCCAGGTCACTGGACCACGGTGACACGGGAAGAGCCAACCGGCAGGCCCGGGACGCCGCCGAAACGCTCCCGCCCGCAGCGGGGACAGGCGCTGGCAGCGGCTCCCGGCGGGCCGGGCGGGGCCTGGCAGGGCCGAGTGTCGCCCGCTGCGCGCCCCTTCCCCCGCATCGAACCCCGTCATCCCCGCGGGGCACCTCTCCAAGCCCGGGCCCGCGGCGCGCAGGTACCCAGCGCTCCCGAAACCTGACCGGGACCCGCCAGCCGCCGCGCAGACGCCGCGGCTGAGGCGGGAAAGTTCCGGAGAGCCGCAACGCGCAGGCGCCGCACCACAGGCCCCGCCCCCACCTCTCGCGCCAGGAGTGCGCAGGCGCCGCAGCCAGCGCCCCCGACGCCAGGACTGCGCAGGCGCGCGGTCCGCGGAGTTTTCTGCGCTTCCTTCTCCCTCTCTCCAGACGTCGTGGTCGTTGGGTCCTATGTCGCGCCGGGCCCTCAGGAGGCTGAGGGGGGAACAGCGCGGCCAGGAGCCCCTCGGGCCCGGTGCCCTGCAGTTCGACCTCCGTGACGACGATGACGCGGAAGAGGAAGGGCCCAAGCGGGAGCTGGGTGGCCGGTGCCCCGGGGAGGCAGGGAAGGAGGGCGTCCGAGTCAACAACCGGTTCGAGCTGGTGAGGATCGCGGCGGCTGGGGTGGGGGCGGGGTGGGCCGTGACGTCGCGGGGCGTGGCGAGCGTCCGGTCTGGTCGGGGAGCGGGGGTCGTGAGACCAGGGGTGGATCGGGTCACGTGGGTCCCGGCTGCAGTGGGGAGGGCGGGGCCGTGCCCGGGCCGGGCCGATGCGGGTGGGCGGTGGCGTGAGGTCAAGATAGCTGGACGCAGAGTTACCTTGGGTTCGAACCCCAGTGAGGTGGGCGGGATCGTATCGTCATGGGGCGGGGCCATACCGTCGGAGCCGGGCGACAGAATGAGTGGGGTCAAGCGGGGCCCGGGCTGTGAAGGGGGCGCGGCCATGATGCGAGGGCGTGGCCAACGTCCGCAGGGCGGGGCCACGACGTGGGCGGGGTTAAACGGGGGTTCGGGCCGGCGTGGCGAGGGTGGGGCCTTGACACTAAAGTGCGTGGCTAAGGACGCGGGGGCGAGGCGATGGCGTGGGCGGGGTTCATTGGGGACTGGGGCCACCGTGGGGGTGAGGCCGTGGGGTAGGGGTGGGGCGCTGCAGTGCGGCAGGTCTTCTCCGAACTTCTGGGGTTGAGCGCTCTCCTTTAATCCTCACGAGCCTGCCCAGCCAGGGCCTCCTGTCTTGCTCTTCGCTGTATCTCAGGCTGCGTGTTTCTGGTCCACAGTGAATGGTTTGCCCCTGTGGTCCTGTGATGTTTTGTCTTAAGTCCTGGCCTTGGTGTGTAACGCGGCCTGTGCGGGCTCTGCAGTCCTCCCGCCTCAGCCTCCTGAGTAGCTGGGACTACATGTGCATGTCACCATGCCCAGCTAATTTTTTTTTTTTTTGGTAGATTTGAGGTTTCGCCTTCTTGCCCAGGCTGGTCTAGAATTCCTGGGCTCAAACATCTGTCCACCTCAGCCTCAAAGTGCTGGACCACAGGCCTGAGTCACCATGCTTGGCTGACTGCCTTTCCGACATCAATTCCAACTTCAGGGTCCCCAAGACCACACTCAAGGTTCAGTAATTGGCTAGAATCACAGCAGTTACTGAAAGTTTTTTTGTTTTTTTTTTTTTTTTTTGAGATGGAATCTTGCTATTGCCCAGGCTGGAGTGCTGGCACAGTCCTAGCTCACTGCAACCTTGAACTCCTGGGCTCAAACATTCCTCTCACCTTGGTTTCTCAAAGTGTTGGCATTACAGGCGAGCCACTGTGCTCAGCCCCGTAAGTCTTTTTTTTTGAGATGAAGTCTTGCTCTGTTGCCAGGCTGGAGTGCAGGGATGCGATCTCGGCTCACTGCAACCTCCGCCACCCGGGTTCCAGCGATTATCCTGCGTCAGCCTCCTGAGTAGTTGGGATTACAGCTGTGCACCACCACGCCCGGCTAATTTTTGTACTTTTAGTAAAGACAGGGTTTCACCATGTTGGCCAGGATGGTCTCCTGACCTTGTGATCTGCCTGCCTTTGCCTCCCAAAGTGTTGGGATTACAGGCATGAGCCACGGAGCCTGGCCCCCCCATAAGTCTTTTTAATTATTGTCAATGTAATTTGTCAAAAAATTGTATCACATTATTTTATTTTACAGTTCTTTGTTAGTGAAATTCAGCACCTAGCTGTGTACTTGTTGGCCTTTTACAACCCATTTATATCCTTTGCTTTTTTATAGAGAGTGTAAAAAGTCTTTATTATGTTCATGAAAGCTCACTATCGATTCTCTTTAACGTATTTTCTCAGTTTGCATTTGTTCTTTCACTTCCTTAATTTCTACATGCTGAAAGATACTGGAGCCACGTTTCTGATTGTTAGGTGTCTGTCTCTCTGTGATGTCTTCACATAGATCTTTCCTGATGTGACTTTGTGCAGAGTCTTCTCTTGTTTTTTGTTTTTTGTTTTTGTTACAGAGAGGGTCTCACTATGTTGTCCAGGCAGGTTGCTGGTCTTGAACACCTGGGCTCAAGTGATCCTCCTGCCACAGCCTCCTGAGTAGCTGGGACTATGGTATACTCTACTTTGGCCAGCTTGTTATTTTAATGCTTTTGTTTTTCATTTAAATATTTAATCTTTTTGGCATTTATGTTTGTGTTGGTGGGAATTTGGAAAAAATGTGGCTTATAAGTTGACAGAATAAGAGTCCCTAAGGTCAGAAACCACATAAACCGTTGTGAACTTCCTGGAGTGAGTTTTGAGCATCAGTAACACTGACAGCCTCCGTGGATGAGTGACTGCTTACTGTTCTTAGGAATGTCAAAGAATTTTATCCAATGGTACACATCAGTCCTAATTTAAGCATTCTATACTTTTTTGCCCTGATAACTCACATTTGGAAATGATACAATAGAAATGTTTATTGGTGTTCTGTTGTGAAATAGCTCTTAAGAATCAGAAGTGTGAGAGACATTAAACAGCCACTTACAACTGAATGGTTATAAATGTGCATGCTTTGGTGAGAGACACCATGTGTCTCTTTTTTAAAAAATATTTATTATTTAGTTCATGTCTTTTATTACCTCAGTTACTTGTCTTCTGGTTTGTTGAAGCAGTAAGTCAGAAAACATTTGCCACAATAACATCTGTCATTAAAGTGGCTTGTCATAAACACTCCAGCACCACATTCATCAGAAGGGCACTCTCGATAAAGGCGACTAATTTTACCATTTTCATCCATCTTATGATATTTCAGGACAGCCAGCTTAACGTTTCTTTCTCTTGTGCTTGTTCTTCTTGGGGTGGTGTAAGACTTCTTTCTTTTCTTAGCAGCACCATGAAGTGTCAACACAAGATGAATAGACTCTTTCTGAATGTTGTAGTCAGACAAAGTATGTCCTCCTTCCAGTTGCTTGCCAGCAAAGATCAGTCTTTGCTGCTCAGGAGGAATTCCTTCCTTATCCTGGATCTTGGCCTTTACATTTTCTGTCGAGGGTTCAGCCTCGAGGGTGACGGTCTTCTCCTTAAGGGTTTTCATGAAAATCTGCGTTTTGGCGGTGGCCCCATCTGAGACGCAGATGGCGGATCAAAAAGGAAGCAAAAATTTATTTTTTTTATGTAGAGGCACGATCTCCTTATGTTGCCCAGATTGGTCTTGAACTCCTGAGCCTAGGAGATCCTTCCACCTTGGCCTCCCACACTGCTGGGATTACAAGTGTGAGCCACTGCACCTGGCCAGTGTGGGGTCTCTAAGTGTCAGTTGATAGATCTTTTGGAGGGCGGTTTGGTAAAATCCTAAATGACCTAGCAGTTTCCCTTCAGGAATTTACCGTAAGGTACCAGTTTGCTCACTCGGTGCGAGGATTTATTACACAGATGTGTTATAGTATTGTTTATAATGAAACTTTTTTTTGGGGGGTGGGGAGACAGAGTCTTGCCCTGTCCCCCCAGGCTGGAATGCAGTGGCGTGATCTTGATTTTGGCTCACTGCAGCCTCCCCCTCCTGGGTTGAAGGGATTATCATGCCTCAGCCTCCTGAGTAGCTGGGATTACAGGCTCCTGCCACCACTCCTGGCTAATTGTATTTTTAGTAGAGCCCGAGCTCCTAAGGGTGGGGAAGGGTAACTGTCACCAGAGCTCCCGAGGGTGGGGAAGACCTTCCATTCTGACTAGCTGGAATGCAGAGGTGTCTTTGAAAAGAGTGGGTCTTCAGTAGAGGTTTTAGGAACGCTGTTTCTCAGGAGTAGAGCTAAAGTAACCCTTCAATAAAGAATAGTCTGGGCATGGTGGCTCACAGCTACAGTCCCAGCACTTCAGAGGCTAGGGTGGGAGGACTGCCTGAGCCCAGGAGTTTGAGACCAGCCTGAGCAACGTAGGGAGACCCCATCTCTACCAAAAACGAGTACTCTAGACCTGTCTTAGCAAAGCTTAAATAGAAGGTTTGAAGAGATTGTGCTGATATGCAAGCATGTTAACCGCCTGCCTAAATAAATTTCAGACTCTACTAAGGAAAAGGACAAAAGCCAGTCATTCAGCAGTGTAGCCTGTAATCCCAACTGCTTGGAAGGCGGAGGCGGAAGAATTGCTTGAACCCGAGACGCAGAGGTTGGCTGCAGTGAACCAAGATTGCACTATTGTACTCCAGCCTGGGCGACAGAGCGAGACTCCATCTTAAAAAAAAAAAAAAAAGAGAAAAGAAAGCAAATTATGCAACTGAAAAATACAGTATCTGAAATTATTAATTCACCTGATGGTCTTAATAGCAGATTAGATGAGGGGTCTTAATAGTCTTTTTTTTTTTTTTTTCTTTTGAGATGGAGTTTCACTCATGTTACCCAGGCTGGAGTGCAATGGCGCGATCTCGGCTCACCGCAACCTCCGCCTCCTGGGTTCAGGCAATTCTCCTGCCTCAGCCTCCCGAGTAGCCGGGACTACAGGCACGCGCCACCATGCCCAGCTAATGTTTTGTATTTTTAGTAGAGACGGGGTTTCGCCATGTTGACCAGGATGGTCTCAATCTCTTGACCTTGTGATCCACCCGCCTCGGCCTCCCAAAGTGCTGGGATTACAGGCTTGAGCCACCGCGCCCGGCCAATAGTCTTAATAGCACATTAGACACTAGAGAAGGAAAAGATCAGCGTCCTTCAAGTTGGGGCTCAGAGAGAGGGGTAGCTGAAAAGCATAGCGTCTCAGTAACCCCTGGGAAAATATCATGCGGTCTGACATTTGTAACTGAAGTAATAGAACGAGAGGATACAGAAATTGGGCAGAAAAAATACTTGATGAAACAGTGAGGCTGGGCCTGTTGGCTCACACCTGTAATCCCAACACTTTGAGAGGCCAGGCCGGAGGATTGCTTGAGCACAGGAGTTTGAGGCCAGTCTGGGCAAAATAGTCACACTCTGTCTGCATAGAAAATAAAAATAAAAAATGATGAGGCATTTGAGTCCTGAAGGGATTAATCCAGTCTCAGGGGAGTGAGTTCTTGCTCAGTCACTGCAAGCATCCTGTCTTGGAGGACACGGTTACCCTCGAGAGCAGTTGTATGAAGCGAAGCTGCCGCGTGTGTGTGGTCTCTCTGCACACTTCT